ATTTTTTTCAAAAAATAGGTACCAAGTACCACACCAGGCACCTCCCGGCGGGTACCGGCGGTACTTTTGGCGGGTACTGCGGGTACCTCCCCTCTCTTTCTAACCTAGGTTCACTTTCAGATTACCAAGTCACTATTTTATTATTATTTTTTTTCATATTTATTGTAAAATATCAGTCCCAAGTCACTTTTTTTCCATTCTTTCACATTTATTGTGAAATGTTGACAACAAATTGGAAGAATCCTACTTTGTTATTATAATTTCATATTTATTGAAAATATCATTCCCAAGTCACTGTTTTTCCTTTTGTCATACTTGTTGTAAGACATCTTAAACTAATTGGAAGAACCTTACTTCATTATTATTATTATTTTCATATTTATTGTAAAATATTACTCAAGTCACTTTTTTGGCATTTTTTTCATATTTGTTGTCAAGTATCTACATCTAATGGGAAGAATCTTGCCTTTTTTCATATTTATTGTAAAACATCAATCCCTGCAAGTCAATTTTTTCATTTGTTCACATTTAATATTTTATTTTAAAGCTTAAACTGTCTACAAATTATATCTAATTAGAAGAATCTTCATCATTTTCCAAAACTATCACCTTCCTTTTTGATTTTTGGTTAGACTTCTTGTTATCTTTGAGTCCCTGTTTCCATTTAGCCAAGGTACCTTCTTGGAGTTCTTGGAGTAGAAGGACACCGTCATTTTGGTAGGGAAGTGAGGGGGTACCTATAGCGGTACCTAGGTACCTGTTCAATGTTTCACAAAAATAGGTACCAAGTACCGCACCTGGCACCTCCCGACGGGTGCGGGGCGGGTGTGAAGGGTACCCCCCAAGCGGTACTAGGTACCTAGCAAAGGGTACCGCGGAACGATCTCTAGTATTAATTTCTTCCTTTTCTTATTTATTGTTTGATATTAAAAATTGGTTATCAAGAATTAACGCCTCTTGTTATTTGTGACTTAGAATATTTTTTCTTGACTAACTCATCTGGCTTTTACTACAAGAGAATGAGAAGTACTGCGCAGTTTGTTATTTTCCAAGAACTTATTCTATTTTCTCTCAATTTTTATTCAAAATACTTTTTCTTTATTCATTTTTCTTTCAACCACTTTTTGACCATTTGTACCTAGTCTATTTAATCTGGGCTAGTTGCAAGTGAATAAAATCATCGGTTCTTTCACTCTTTTTCCGTGAACCTTTCCCAAAAATAAGATCCTCAATTTTTGGCCCTCCACCTTTTATGCGCCTGAGTCTTAAAATTTCAACATATGTACATATAGAAACATTAATATTTAAATAAGTGGAATCACTATAATATAGATATTATTACTCATTACATTGAGTTTTACTAGTCATGAAAGAAAACATAAAAATAAACCAAAAACATTTATAAATAAACATTTTTAACATGAATCTACAAATAACTTCTGAACCTTAAGCAAAAGTTAGAAAATTATTTCAGATTCTTAATTTTCATGCAAAATTACCTAGGGTACCTCACCAAAGGTACACCTTAATTATTACTCCTTGATGTAATTCTGTGTACTCTGAGTGTCACTTGTTCATTTTGCTAGAAACCCTCCCAGTTACATCATACTACATGTTGTGACAGGTCTACACATGTAATTAAGGTTCATGCAGTTCGAGAAAAATCCACAAATAAGGTTGACATCATTAAAACCTTAACTACATTGTCACAACAACTGTAACTGGCTAGTCAAAGCCATTTGTGGCCCAATTTGGCCCAATTTGGCTAACTACGCCTTGTTAGGACCAGCCCACTGGTCATTAAAGGGTCTCAGTGACCAAAACATGGCTGCAGGTTCTTCACAGAACCCCTTAGTGTGTGCTACAAGCCTCACTTCAGCCCTCTGACACCTGTAACCAAGGACTACAGGTGTCTAGGCAGTGCTACAGGTCACCAATGCCTAGTAGGAGGCTTGCACAAGCCAAACAGAGTTCTGAGTTCGCCTCCAAGGGCCCAGAATGAGTATATAAGGAGCCCTTCTTGCCCCCAAACTCTGAATCCCCATCTTCATCATCACTTACCAGCAATAACCACCTCCAACAACCAGTTTTCACCTGTTTTTGGCCCAGTTCCTGCTGTTTTTCATCCTGAATTTCAACCAACCAACCATCAACTGTTCCCCAGAACTCTCTCACCACCTTTTAACCAGTTTTCTGAGGGCTTCCAGACCAGTTTTCACCCACCTGAAGTCCCCCTTGGCTTGGAAATAGTACAAGTAGGTAATATTTCCTTGATACTTCAGTTGTAGGCATTTGTCTGGGCATACTCCTTTACACAAAGGACCAGATCATCAGGTACATAAAAAATACCCCTGTTTTAACAGGTCCTGATTCATTGGAGGGCACCATAAAAACCCCTGTAACTCAGGCCCCTCCCTTTATAAAAACTTAACAGTTTTTATTTCTTCTTTTCTCCCACACTTGTACATACCATTTTCTTAGTTTGCACCTGGTGTAGCTAGAAGAGACCAGCTCTTGGCATCACTCAGGCTGACACAAAGTCTATGAAGGAGAAGAGTAGTGTAAAAGTGTGTAGTTGTGACTAAGGTTGAAATCACATGGGGAATTCATTTCTGAAGTCAGAATGTAATAACATTTTAGGATGAAAAGTTACAGTAGGAACTAGAGTGAAAAAGGAGGACTTAAGCAGTCCTTTGGCCAGCTTGGCTGGCTCTAAGGCTGACAAATTTGGGGATACTTCCAGTGAGCAATCCCATTTAAAATCTTATGAACTGTTGTTTTATGAAATAATATTATTAGTTATTTGAATGTCACATGATTTATTACATATTGAATATTGAATATTTATTATTTATTATTTAGCAGTCTTTTGGATACTATGGAGTATCTTTAAGGATGACAGTACCTACCCCCAAACCCCCTCCTCCATGAATCAACCAAGACCAAGTAGGTTTTGGAAAGGTTGCTGGGGAGGACCTCTCCTCAGCAACCTGGTTAAGACCAAGTAGGTTGCTGGTAAGGACCCTCCTCAACAAAGTGATTTATCTGAAGTTCTCAACCAGGTAACCCAGAAGGATCTCCAGCAATCAAGCACCAAGACCCAAGTACTGCTGGTACCCACCTCAAGTGCCACCATACCCACCAGACAGTGCTGGGTGACCTGATGCCAGTTTTTGGCTAAAAAAGCAACAGTAATTGGGTCCCATGGGGCAATCTCTGTACAAATTTTTAAACTTAGATGCGCAAGAGGTGGAGGGCCAAAAAATGAGGATCTTGTTTTTGGGAACGGTTCACGGAAAAAGAGTGTAAGAACCGATGAGTTTCTATTCACTAGTAACTAGCCTGGGTTTAAGTAGACTAAATACAAGAGGACAAACTGTGGTTGAGAGAAATGAATAGCAAAACCATTTTGAATAAAAGACTGAGAGTCTTTGGAAGAAACAAACCGTACAAAACTTCTCAGTCTCTTTTAGTCAAGCCGGATGAGTTAATCAAGAAAAACATGCTATAAACCACAGATATTTAGAGTCGTTAATTCTAAGTAATCAGAATTTATTAAATCAAACAGAAATATCAGGAAATAGAAGAAAACATTGTAGAGACATGAGTTGTTGAGAAGAGCATTACTTAGGGTTCATATTTGACTCAAAAGGGGCTTAAAAAAACAAAAAACAAGCTACTTTATGAGTATAATCTAGTCTGATTTCATGATGACTAGAAAGGAAAATGAAGTGATTTTGGGTAAGAGTAGACCAGAGAAGAGGAAAACTCAACAATCTCTAGGTCCACAGTGTGGGGTTAAACAAGCCTGCTCTGGAGGAGTCACATCACACAGCACATAGGAAAGCCCAGATCACAAGAGACTGATGAGGACATGTTAGCTAGGCAATCAGTGCCACACACAGCCACTAAGCAGCTGACACTAAAAACAACTACCCACCAGTACCAAACAGTAAGAGAAAAAAATTATGAAATTCTCACCCACTCAATGGGCTCACTGTGATGATACGGCGAGTTCTCTTTATTTCAAATCTTATCAAGCAGCCAGTAGTAGTAGACAAACTAACAAGAGAGAAGAAAAAATAAAACTTTAAGCATCACATGAGAAATTCAAAGACATCAAAAGGAAACTACCAACATCTTCTGAGAACAACAATAGCAACGACTAAAACAGTGCAATGATTACTTGAAGAAACAGATAAGCCTTGAACAACAAACTAACGTCAAATGATGTTTTAGTTAACATGAAAGATAAGCGCAAAACAACAAACAAATAAACAACTCCTGAATTTGATTGATTGTTGCTCCTCCTGGATTGATGTAGTTGGTGTTTTTGCGTCTGTGTGTTTAGAGTATTATTGACAATAAGTTTTTTAGTCACAGTGTTTGAGATAGATGCAATAATACCTTGATGACTTCTTGAAGTCTTGACGAGATTGAGTGAAAGAAGAAAAGAAACAAAAGTTCACAGTCAAGTTTGACTAAAGCTTGCTAACCAAGATTATCTAAGCATTTGAAATTGTACCACAACACAAAGTTCCACATGCATGCTGGCTTAACATGAACTCCCACAGCTGATGTCACTAATTATTCCTCAACACTCAACCCCAAACTTGACTGGCTTTGGGTGGAAGAGATTCCTCTGAAGCTAGTCTAGGCAAATACAAGATAATTTTCAAATGGTTTGCTGATGGTGGGCCAGCTACCCCCAAAGGAGCAAAGGGCTCACCCCAACCAGTGAATGGTAGCTATCAGTAGTCATTATTTGACCCTAGACCAGTTCTCATAGATCTTCAACAACTTTCTTTGTCTTTTGTTGTATAGTGAGTCTATTTTTTATGTCATTTGCTTGGGGCATTATTTTGACCAATTTTTTGACTGGCATAATTCTATCTGTGACTTGATGTTCTGAAATGATAAAAGATCTGTGTATATATTTGGGTGATTATACCTCTGTATACTGAATATCAACTCTCATGAAATGATCAACTTTTCTGTGACCGGGCCATAATCTTTCTTGTCTTTGCAATGGAGTGAATTTGAAGCAGCAGATTTGAGTTAGAATAAATTGAAGAAACACATTAATTGACTTTTGATAGAAATGAGCTTGATGAGAAAGAAAATTTTGGGGATTAATTATCAGGGCTAAGTCTTAAATCTCTAGTTTGTATCAGCAGGATATACATGTATAGACTATCACAAGTATAAACGATATAGAATTGAAAAAAAATTGTGATTTGAACGCATATTGTACACTTCCCCTCAGCTTGAAAAAATATGCGGTGAAGGTTGCCAAATGTTATTAACTTGTTAATTTTAATCTTCTTGCAAGTGTACTCTCTGAATGTCTACTAGCTTTTATTCTTTCTGTTAGCTGGTCTTTGTTCTTCATTCTTTATGTTCTGATATTTGAACAAATGGAAAGATTTGAAAGGAACACTGGGAAAAGGAATGGAAGTAAGCATCGGAGAGCATGGGATTACGTAAGCAGTTCTAGAAGTTCAAGGAAGTACGGTTTATTTTTGTTCATAGTTTTAGTTGTCCGTGTGTACAAAGGTCAAAACGAAGTAATCTGCATAAATATTATATGGTATCTGTATTTCAGTCTTGAAAGTTTTCGTCTTGTCGAAATCATTTAATCTTCGGGCTCTCTGAATGGACAAACGCGGCTGTGTTTGACCATATTGCCCTGTGTTTTTTTGTGGGGGGAGGGGGAGAGAATCAGTCGCAGCTCCTCAGCGTATCATGACTTTATCACCAAGAATTATTCCTCACGTGAGTAGTGAAACGTTTCACGCAACCGTTCCAAGGACAAGGAAATGCTGTGAAAACGGATAGTCTTTGTTAGATCAGCAGGAAATTGATAGCAGGCCATACACAAGCTTACGTCTTTCGCCCTATTTTCAGAAGAGACAAGCGAAAAACATGTCAGTACGAGAAAACAGGTTAAAATTTAGTTAAATTCAGTTACCGTGTGACTTCTTTCGTGAATCTGGAGAGCACTTGGACGATCAAAAGCTCGTAGGCCTTTTGGTGTGACGGTAGTCGGATTTGGAAGCAAAAAAGGATACGAAACATTCTCATTCAGCGATGGCGAAGCAGGAAGGAGGTCAATTATAAGGCCACACTCACAAGTATTGCACCTTTTGTCGCAACGTGATTTCCATTGTACCGACCATATATACACCAATGATTAGTCGCTCACTCCAATTTACATTCTCGATAAGGAGGGAAGAAAATGTGAAACTGACATGTACGCCAAGGGTCTTCCTTGTGCATTGTATTGCATGGTACCAGGTTGATGATGGTGTGCAGCATTGGTGCTACTGGGGTAATGCGGCGAGTTCATCAACTGGCTGTTCCTTATAGAATGTGCGAAAGGTGTTGCTGCAGGAGTGTGATGGCCGGTGAGAGGTCCAGAAGGTTGTCGACCAGGTCGACTGTAAGGGCTAACTGAGTCCCTGACAGAGTCAACGGATGGAGTCCAACCGGGCAAAACCGGTCCATCGGGGTGTTGACCGTGTTGAGGATGTCCGTATGAGTTTGGACCTAACGGCACCTGTACTGAAAGGTTAGAGTAAGGGGTATACTGAGCATTTGAAGTCGCAGCACTAGCCGACCGACGCGGACCCGATTGTGGCGTAATTGGTGAGGCGAGGTGGGGATAATGACTGGGGAGCATTCCCGAACCGGTTGGGCTGTAATGTGCACCTCCCGCCGGCGTGTAGTAAGGCCCTCTCATTTCTTCGGAGCTCGGGACTTGAATGTCAGGATGAGGCAGAGGGTGGAATAGAGATTTGCACGCAGTTGTAAGGAAAAACTCATTCAAAGTAATACTGAATGCGGGTATGAAGGCACAAGTTGGGGGAAAAAGGAATGGGCAATAAGTATTTACCTCTTGTATGACTTGGAGTATGGCCTTCGTTGCGAGGTTGGTTTGGATTTTGGCCCGAGGTTTGTCGCGAATCTTCACTTCCACTGGGAGGGGAATGATGGTTCAAAATAAATATAAAAAGTTAGTTCACCAACTTATCCACGTTGAACACTAGCATCGGACACAAGCCTTATTTTCATGAAGCTAGAGAGGAAACATGTAGATGATGCAGTGAAAGACTCCGAAACTCAAACTACGTAATGCGAGAATGACGGTCATTGGGAGAACTACCTCCAACGGGAAGTCTATTGAAGGGAAGCTTTCAGGGCACATGAAGGACAATGGGAGCTCCCTTGAAAACGGCATATAGTGGCCAGGAGGTTCTTAAAGGGCAAAGGAAGGTGAGGGTAGGCGATATAGGGCAATACACTCAACAAGCTTTGCCGCACATGCAAATCTAATTTGCAAGATACCCATGGAAGAGAGTATAATTTTGGCGAGTATATGTGAAAAACGATAATTGTACTCAACTACATGGGACGAACGTCCAAGCCGCTGCAATCGATAGCAGCGATCACGGCCAGACTGGCGGGATCTTGGGCTGAATGAGTTTGGTAGTACGGAGGGGCGGCAGTTGGTGCGGTGGTAGTGAGAGCCGAAGTGATCAACTCGGTCTGATTTGGACTTGGATGGGGATTCGCATTGGAACTGCTCCGGCGAGAAGTGGACGTAGCCGTCGGAGAGGGATAGCCTGTTCCGGCGCCGCTGGATGTCGGTGGAGGGTCCCTGGGGGCCGAGCCCTCAAGGTTCGCGCTGGTACTGAAGGGTCGGCGGGCGGGTGGCTGGTGAGATCCCGGGGGCAGAGCAATGCCGGGCACAGACCACTCTGAGGTCGACCCTACGAACAGCAAAGTTTCCTATCAATGGCTAATTATTCTCCCATGACATAATAGCAGGATCGACCCTTTCGTCCCGAACCCAAGATATGAAGCAAGGGCTCAGGTTGATCGATCGCCAGAAATAAATCAGAACCACCGAACACATACCCGAGTTTGGCCTCGACTGAGTCCTGGTTGAGCATTAAATTCAACAAAAATTACCAAAACAAAAAAACAAATCAGTAAATCAATCACGCGGACATGGGAAGTATCAGGCTACATTCATGATAAAGATGCTAATAAAAATTTGATGAGGATGTGTGCTCATGTTGTTGTATTGGCCTGCTGCCCAAGTCAAGCTGTATCAATCAACAAAGATTCAATGGGAAGCTAATTTGGCCAAATAATGTCACTCAGGAGCTGCACAACTACGGCAACTCTTTTCACTGATCAGACTACCCGCCATCTTCAGAGACGGATGAGGCACAATCAAACTTCTAGCCCTATAACATGGACGTCAAGGCAGATGCTCCCGGCGTCAATATGATGAAAAATTTGCAGTATTTCAAGGTTTAACACTCGGGCAACCGTCAGAACAGGAAGAAACTCATTCTGCTCCTTAGGAGGTGTAAACTTCATCACCCATCAAGGAGATTTCTACCTGGAGATGAGATCACTTGCACTCTGGCGATCAAACTTTCTTCATCTTGCGCCGCTCAAAGGAGACGAAACAGACACTCAGCCCACTTTGCAGGGATGAAACACCGCCCCAAAGATCCAGGCGAGCGGTAGGTTGAGGAACAGTGAACACAGAATGAACGAGAAGAGTAAGAGAAATGACTCACTGCTGTTGATTGGTGGGAGTGGAGGATTTTGATTGAGGTTGAGGATCCAAGATCTTACTATTGCTTTCGGCTGAGTTGGGGGTTATGGTCCTGAATGGATGATGATAAACTGGCGATGAATCTACAAACTGATGATGAGGATGATTAGGGTGGTGATGGTGGTGCTGATGCGAATGCGAAGCCGAAGGCGATTGACTAGCATTCTCGACGCTTGATGATGCCGCCGAAGCATTAACGATCACTGGTTTGGTGTTGGCTTCGTGGTCGAACAGGTTCGAGCCAGCGGCGTTACCGCGCGCGAGGCTGGGATGTGGATGTGAATCCATGATTGACATATATATGTTTGAGGTGAATATATATGTATATGTGTATGATGGTATATCTGATTCAGTGGAGAAAGATAGAAATGAAAGTTTGGTGGTGGCTGGGTCTTCTCTGGCTGGAAAATGTATATATAGGATTGATGGAGATGACCAGAAATATGGAAGAAAAAAAAATGGACTATGGAAAGAACCGAGTTCTTGATCTGCCTTCAATTTCAATTGTTGACTCAGTCGATCGTGTCTATGACTTTTGTGGCTGCTGGGTTTATCGTTTCAACGAATGACCTGTCTAACGGGTTGAAAATCGCCTCTAGTGACAACAAAGCCTGCCAAACACGAGAAGGGACAAGATGTGGAGGTGATACGTGGGATCCTGAATATGAAGGCAAAAACACAATTCAGTCAGATGAGATCGCGAGTCTTTCAGTTTTCAGAGCCGTCTTCTTCACAGACGAAGAAGTAGATTGAGGTATACGGCGCTGAGATGAGAGTATGTGTGGAGAGAGATGGATCGATGGATAGAATCAATCAATAGAACAAAATCATGAATCGCCGGAAGAAAAAGTAAGGGGTCAAGGGGGAACTTGGTGAGGAAAAATGCCAATAATTTTCTGGAGATACTCGAGAAGCTAGCAAGAAAAGATAGGGGATTGTCGCAGAAAGGAACCACACCTGAGCAATCGGTTTATGATTCTTGTAAATAGCTCGAGGGAGGAGAGCTATGCGGAACTCGAAGGAGTACAAGAGGGCACTGGAGAGGATTAATGTAGACACGCCAAGGACTAAGGTAAGATTATTGTTCGAAAAAAAGCCCACAACGAAGTTCAGAGAAGAAGATCGCCCCGAGGGGACTTACGGAAATGATGGTAAGCTGAGTATGTGTAGCTGGCAATGGCATTATTTTTCTGGTGAAGCGGGGGATCAAGCCGAGCTAAAGAGCGGATTGGGGGTCGGTAGAGCTATAAGCAGCGACAAAGCTATAATCAACACCAGCCCTTTAATTCCGCCAGCTTCCGACCACAAAAAATTCAGGAGCTTGGTAGGCTGATGATGAAGATGCCTTCATGATAAAAAGAGAAAAAAAAGGAAAGAAAATGGTCATGCATGAAATTAAGGATAGAAAATTTTGACTATCGGCCCAGCCTGTGTATCCTGGAAATGATGATGATAATTCCTCTCACGTAAAAAAGAGAGAAAAAAAAGAACGTGGATGTCAATGCAAATAAAACAAACGGAAGGGACTCAAGGAGAGTCTACGTTGAAAGATAGCGAGAGCAGGCTTCAGTAAGATTAAAGTATGTAACGAGCTAAAGATAAAACCCACCGGGAGTAGCTGAAGTAACCACAGGGTAAGTAGCGTGGAGTTATAATCTGAGAGGGGAAAGCCTATGCAATCGCTGAAAGAGCTGGTGGAAAGTTATCACCATAAGCTGATCTGAGCTCACCCACGTTTGAAAGCATGACGCCGGCAGAAGGTTATTTAAGGCGAATGTCATGAGATGATATGTCGTAGGTAGTACACTCAGATAGAAATACCGCCCCACCCACAACCACAGTCCCTCCCCCAATAAGAAAAAAGAGGGCGAGAGACGAGAGAGAGAGAGAGAGAGAGAGACGGGGAGAGAGAGAGACAGAGAAAGAGAGAGACAACATATTTACAACGAACATACGAAATATGTTTCCAGAATTAACTTCGAGATAAGCAATCACGTAGCGGCCATCGCAAGTAGAGTCAGCTTCGGTCATGAGGTTCAATGCCAGTTGGACTATCTACACAACGTGTCCATCTTGGCCTTGCTGAAAGTAGAAGCGGCTGTCGGGATGTTTCCTTCAGACCGAGTCTGGATCAGTCCGGGGTTCATTTCACTCCGCTGATGTACATCGGGCAGTCCTTTCATTCTTGGGCGTGCTTCTGAGCGCACCTCCTTTAACCTGATGTCTGAGGTCTTTTTTTTGTCTTGAAGTAAGCTCAAAAACCCATCTGATTGAAGGTAATCTAGCGATAGTCTATATAGTCTAGTAACTGTTTGCCCCACTGGACAATCTGACCCGCTGGAGATAACGACATGGAAGCGAACGGCGCAGTATTACGGTTGAAAGCATGTCTGAAAATTTAAATTTTAACCTATGGCCACTGCCGTGTCTGACTTGTAGCTGTCCCGCCAACTGTAACCTCATTCCACAATGTAGCTGGTTTTTCCATCCATGCAATGATCATAGAGTCATAGACTGTGTGACTCGCACCCAACTTAGGGTCAGCTCGTATACGTGCTACATTATGCCAGATGATAACCCCGAGGTGATGACCCAATCCACTGCTTAACTGCACCTGGGAAGCCTCTAATCCGATCAGCTCGGTTCAGCGCACTCAGGGTAACAGTATAAGCAGCAGTGGGCTCGGTATGTTCGGAGGACTGACCCAGCACTGCCAGTAGACTTCAATTGAATGAAACCAAGCACGGTGTAAAAGCGCCGGATTACTGGAACTTGGACCTTGGAAGTCTTGCCCTGTGTTACCTCACCAAGTTGTAAAAATAACTCAAAGATAAGCTTTACCTTGGAAGCTTCTTGGTAATATAGGAGCTTTGCCAGCAAACTCTCAGAAGGTAAAGTATTATCCTCACGAGACATCCTGAGATCCGACAAGTAAGGATGGCAAAGTCGCATGAATATGTACTTCCGACCGTGCAAGGTTAATCGGAGGTCTGGTCTTGTTTGCATTTTCATTAACCTTAGTATTACACAGCGCTTGTGAGAATTTTTGTCTCATTTTCGCCAGAGGTCATTGTAATTCCGCAGGCGCCAAGATTCAGTTGAGTTGAAAGTGTTAAGTATACCGAAGATTTGGCCACCTATTCAGCAGTTATGAGCACTAACAGGCATGCGCTCAGCGAAAAACAGCCACTTGAATAAGTATGTGCGCCGCATGTAGAAACATGGAAGCATGAGTTATAGTTCCGCTAGGCCTACGGATGTTAGTGATAGAGCTGGCCTCCACCCCTCTGATGGTATGAACCGATACTTCACAGTTGCTCCATCAGACTAACAACTTGGACATGAAAATTTACCCAGTCATTTTTTTAACTTTGTTTGAAACATTATTACTGAAGGGGTCAATGACGTTACAGTATGACTTTTGGCACTGTTATTGTTTGAGGGAGTTTGTTCCGATGAATTGTGAAGGATTCTAATTGCTGTGATTGGTGTGGACGAATGATAGCTCCGTTTGTTCAGTTTAGTGCATGAATTCCAGCTTCTTTCGGCATATAATCAGCTCAGCCCAAAGCCATTAGCCAATGATCAGCTCACCCCGAACCCATTAGCAGCAATCTTCTTGAAAAACAATGGGCGCGCCGCGCGACTCAAGAATAGAAATGAGATTGCATGGGCCAGGCACTCCCTCACAGCAAGTTGCTTTGGTTCCCCAGGTTATCTCGGCCGGGGTGGTGTTGAATGGCAGAAACAACTCTTCAACTCGATAATAAGATAGAATAAAATTCAATCAGGTAAGTACAGTGTATATTTTCCACACACAATGATCCATGGCGAAGAAAGTGTTTTCTTATGCACCTTGCCGCTGAATCAGGTTATTTGGGTTGTAGTAGTACTTGGGGTGAGATAAAAAATTTCCCAGAAGAAGAAAAAAACATACGCGTTAATAAGTCTTCAGAATCTTCAGCGAATTATTTAAGAATGAAAAATCAATTGAATTTCACTGAAATCATTGCAGTTATGCACGTCAGTGGAGGGCAAATTCATCGAAGTCCCTCCAGACTGCAGCGTGTACCTTGCGCAAAGCGTGAGCCTCTGTTGTGAGGGACTTGCGGCTGACCGTTCCACAGTGGTTTGCGGAGCAGGAAATCACATGTTTCTCGACAGAGAAGAGCCGTGGTTTCCCAACTTTGTGTTCTTGTATTTTTCTTTGTTCTGGTATTTTGTAGTGGAGGACTTCCCGTCGAATTTACAGCCCCCTGTAAAGCTATTTTTACAAGCTCGTGAAACCGTTTTCCCAGCGAAAAATTAGCTTTACAGCCTGTAAATCTAGCTTTACAAGGCCTGTAAAACCCACGGGAAGTCCTCCAGTATTGTTGTTTTTCCACAGAACTTATTGACAACTTCAAGTAAGCAGGCACATGTAAATTCAATTCTTGCTAATTCAGGGAGGTGCGTTGTAAGTCTCTTCTGGCAAAAGCTCACTTCGTGGACACCCTGAAGTTCACCAGAGTGACTTTATTCCCCTTTGTCAACTGAGGTTGAGGCTGAAGCTGGAACCACCATGCTGCGCACGTCTTGAGCTTTTCTTCAAAGCGCCACGAAGTGCGCAGTAGCGACCGCGTAATTAGCAATCAGGGAACGCGTTTTCATATTTCTTTGCGCCATATATTGTCGTATGGTAAAATAATTTTCCTCCATCACCGTGGCACGTGGGACAAGGATGAGAAAGAGGGATAAAGCGGAAATGATAATGAGACTTCATGACGCCTGACCCCATCTGGCCCCTAGGCAACAGGGCGAGTTAGGGGAGGTAAGAGGCTAGGGACTTAGGGACTTAGGGGTGTCTTAGGTGCCTTTCTTTCTCTCATCATATGATGTACTTTTGATATCATATAAATACATGTCCTCTTTCATACACTTTTGATATCGTATGTTCGCTAGTCGCAATAATACCCACCCACATCCAGGTCTCCTAACTCTGGATCCGCTGCAACCTTATTCTGACAATCGGCACGCAGCGTCTCAGAGTCAGACTCTTGGTCGCAGCAGTAGCGCTAAATTTGGTTATTGGAGTAGCAATCAGGTGCTGTTAACGTTGTGGAAGCTAAGCGGTCAAGTGTCTTCTCTTGGACCCTCGGTCCCTCCTTTTTACACCACAGACCATTCCTGCACAACCCTGCTTGTGCTCGGAAGTGCTCGGAGCTGCCGCGCTGCTGTCGCATTGCGCCGACCGCAAGGAGGCATGTGACATAAATTCTGGCGGGGCTGCCCTTCCAGGTCTGCCACCTGCTCTCACTTGCCGGAATACCCAAACGCAGAATTTGTGCCGGTCTTCCGGACTGGAGCTGACTGGAGACTGGATGCGGCAGATTTTGCTTGGAGACAATACACATGGCAAATGCCAAGTCCGCATCACAGCATTCCACTCAGAAGTTAGACATACATTTCATAATCAGAATTTTATCTTCAGCGCCCAGGTTGACCTCATGCTACCTCATGTCTCTGGTCGATTGGATAATCAGATATCTATCTTTAATTCACATCATGAGCTGAGCATGCCATAATCGCACTACGGAGGTGCGGAGCGGTCCTGCGTTTATCGCGGGAGCATGGAAGGCACGTTTTTCTCAGTTGAACCCTATCGACTCGATTTTTTTTTATTTATAAATATTCATGAATGCATGCATATAAAACAGTACCAATATGACCTAACATAGCATTTGTAACCACCTTTGACAGTGCGCACAGCTGTTCGCTGTCCAGTGCTTCTACATTTGACGAAAAAACCTTGAGATAGAGACAGTGTTGTTACATATGAGTGATTTCTAAGCCACCACAGTCATTTGTGCGCTTTTGCGCGAGCAAGAAAAACTAGAATTCTCAGTCTAAACTTCAAGTTCCGCTTTCAAATGCTTGTCCTGATTGCAAAAATTCAATTTTAAACTATCCAGGGGCAGTTGATAGAGGTCGAAGGCATCTTCATCCTCATGTGCTTGCTTTCTTAAAGAATTTCATGATCTCAACTACTTCATTGTCTTCGTCCAGTTCTTACTCAAGCGTGTCCATCGTGATACATTTTCAAGGGAAGGGGGCCACGGCTATCTTTGCATATCTCTTCGCGGTTCTGCTTTGTTTTGGTTTGTTTTTGTCGTAAAAACTCGGAACAGAATATGAAAGAAATCGCTTCCCATGATCGCTCGTGGAGGCGCGCTTTACGTCATCGGGGATTTAACGAGTTCCAAAAGGTTCTAAACAAGCAGGCTCAAGCAGGTGCGTTACCGTGCATCAACATTAACAGGCATGTAACAACCATGATAACGGGAAGGTGCACATGCATAATGTTCTTGGAGCTTGGAAATCTCAGCAGCCCGCGGAGTAGATTCTCATACCGAGTTTGGATAAGCCTGGGGTGCAAGTGAACATTTCATGACTTATCCGATGTCTTCTTTCCGGTGGTGATGTTAGGCCCGAATAACTTCCGCCAAGAGCCAATGATCGTTCATTGAACTGGAGTCAAAAAATGAGGGTGTACTCCAGTCTTCAATTGACCTGTCAAGACTGTGGCAATCGACGGGATTGCCGTACCATGCAAAAAACACTTCTTGGTATAGACTTGCGTATTCCTGATTGTTCGACACTTGAGTGTGGCCTGATTCGGGTCGTAAGTCGGCATTTGAAACTAAAATCCCACTAATATTTCATCGTTCGACTCGGAGGTTGGACAACGCAAGCTTGCGCCACACCAAGCTCGCCGATCTGCCTTTGAATCACTGATATTGCTATTTATGCCCGGGGCCGTTATATGAGGTTTCCCAAAACCTTCCTGTGGGGACATCATCAACTTGTGTGTTAGTATTAGGTTCCAGATATATCGGCGGCATGCATTACCGGCTCGGGTCAGGGCGCGAGATCAGATCTTGACATCCGACATCCGAAACTTAAGGACAGACTAAGTTGAGTTTTGTGCTACGCATCCAGACAAGGAAATTCATCCAACTACAACCTCTTGTATTCTAAAACCAATTTGGGCTCTTAGATAACATAAAAAAGGCAACTTAAAATTTTTTAAACTGAAACCGGAAATAAGCAGAGATATCCCAAACTTGAAGATTCAGAGAAGCAGAGATTAAGAAGGCCCTGAGAACTTGTAATGAAGGATGAAAATAATACAAAAGCTCCTCATAATCATAGCAATGCACAAATGTGATGGACAAATGATGGATGATAAAACATGATAACAAAATTTATAGCTGTAAGTGATGTCTTCAGCCACTGCTGAGTTTCTCTGTGGGACCAATCAAAAAATCATACATACCCAAAGAGTTGCATAAACCAGGCATTTCAGTTTTGTTTTACATTGAACTACTTTCATCCCTCTTAAAAACAATGAAAAGGACAAAACAAGATAATTATGTGGGGTTTACCATTCCAAACTTTAGGGCAGTTGGATTCTGATAATCCCACAGGCACCCAAAAACATCATTCACAAGGGGGGCCATTTCCAATTGCATGGAATTGCTGAGAGATTTAATTTTACAAAGGGGATTAATAAATGTACCCCCCTTTTCTGCTATCCACACCTGTTTTTCTGCTTTTAAACCCGGGGGTTCCCAGCCTTTTTAATTCATTTTTTGTGGATTTCAAATATGCTAAAATTTAGCATTCTTTTTAGGCATGTCAAAAATTCCCAAAAGAGCATTTCAATTTTTATTTATTTTTTTCACCCATCTTTTCCCCATTTTTTTTCTCCCAAAAAGAATGGTCAACTTTGGATGATTTTTAGCATATTTACAATCTAAATCACAAAGGCTGGGAAAACCTGGTTTCAAAGGCAAAAAAGCGGGCGTAAAGTATAGAAAAGGGGGGGGGGGTAAATTTATCAATCCCCTTTAAAAAATGCCATACATTTGAGTCTTCCCTCATCCCTAGTTTCAGCGCCAGTCTCTTATGTGACCAGGCGTTGATGGGCTTATCAGTCATACTATATCCTAGAAGGCCAGTAGAAAAAAAACTCACCTCAAAGCTAGGAAGCAGAGGGGTTAGCTCCCTGGGTTAGAGGGGACAATGGTGGAATGAGCATCACCTTGTCAAGCTCAGAGTGGCAATATGACTCTCTTCTAGAATACAGTAGTGACTTAACTGTAGTCTAGGATATTAGAATAATGATGAAGATGAAAGGTAAAGAGAAAGGGGAAAGTGTACTGCTAAAACCCCACTCACTAATGTTAAGTAAGGTAAACAGGTTTGTATGGCAATATTCTCTGGGGGGAAGGAATCCCATGAAGAAATCCTTCCCCTTAAGTATTGCAAGGGCAGGGATCAATCTGCCTATGAGACCGGTGAGGCCTGCAGATGATCAATTATGTATATAAATCATAAATGATCAAAATATGTATTTAAATTAAGATTAAACCAAAAGTGGAGGAAATGACATCATCTCTCTCTTGGTGAATCAATACAGAGAGAGATGATTAATTCCATCCTTATTGGTACTCATCTCTTTTATTACAGTAAATGAATACAGAGAGAATAGTTACTTGATTATTCCATAATTATAGAATAAGAAACCAAGGGCACTTGGACTCAGGTACATCTATGAATATATAAAACATCCTTTGGAGTGGTCATTGAACCACTACACTAACTCACTCATGGAAATATGAGCCAATGCAGGCATTTGGACATGTTCTACATGTCTTGTGGCTGACACCTAGCCACTCCAACTAAGTTGATATTTGTTTTTTTTTTCAAGGGAATGAGTGGTAGACTGATAGACAGATTAAAATCTGTTTATTCTCAATCCAGTGAGGGATCAGTGAGTGGAATCCTGGGTCAATATTGGTGATCCTTTTAAATAGCTTGTGGACTTGAGGAATGAGTAGAAATTCTAAAATGTTCAGTGCTAGTTCTGATCTCTGAAAAAAACCTTTTCCTGTTCATTTTACAGATTTTGGGACTTCTTTGGTCCCAATAAATTCCAAATTTGTCAAATATCCAAATGTGTTTCATCAAGCTTTGTGATTTTAAAGATCAGAAGGGGTGTGCTGCGTTCCAGGTGGGGATCTGAAGGAGATCATTTTATCATCCTGCTAGATTTAAAAGCTTGTATATAGATTCAAATTTGGCATCTCTCTTGCTTTGTTTCTTCTTTCTGTATTCCCTCAGTTATCCATGGGATTCTCTTATATAATTCAAATCTCATTGTTTGCTTGTTTGACCCTTCTTTCTATGTCTTGCTTTATCATCCTCTTCAGCACACCTCTTATCTCTTATTACTATCATCTCTAAATTTCATTTGTTCCCTTTAATGCTTTTCTTGTTTTTTTGTTCTATTTCTTTCCTCTACTCACAATTAAATCACACTAAGCATTTTCTTCTCCCACCACTGGGTAGTTACACTACTAGAAATAGTAGCATCAAGATAAGGCAATGATTTTACAATCACTGCTATTTTGATTTTTTTTTTACATTACACTATCTATCTTGTCTGGAAAATCTTCACTCACTAAGTCTACACTATCAAAAACTCTCAGTTTGTTTACAAAAAAATCCAAATACTGGTAAGATGTGTGATTCTTTTCAGAGATTTATGGCTTGTGATTATTCCAAAGCCAAAAAGAGAGGCTTTTTGCCACTTGACATGTGTTTAGGGTTTCTGGATAACGTGATAATGCACTACTTTTTCCTGCAAAGAAAGGCCTAATCATCACGCTACAGGCTGAGGAAAAAACTTTGCACTACAGATAATGTTCATGTATTGGGGAGGGATCAAGTCCACTACATTACTGGGATAATGCAGATAGCTCGCATGAAGTAGTGACACAGCGTTGCAATGCATCCCACCTACCACCTCAGTACCCTTCTATCTCTGACTCACCTCATCATCCTTCCATGATTCACTACTCCTCATCTCACAGCTGTGTTCTTTTGTTTCTCATATTTTTCTGGTAGTGGAGGGTTAGAACTAGAACTCTGGAAATTGAATTCACTCTTGAGGATTGGAATCTAATGCTACACAAAGTCTTAATTTTGAAAATTTGAAAAAAAGTGATAACTGGGAGTTTTGTTTTAGAAAACCAATCCTTTTTCTTACAACACACTCCAGGAAAAAAAAAACATGGCTAAACTGAGAAGACTTGACCAAAAATATAAATAGATAATCCCTTAAAATGAGTGAAAAAGAGCTAGAATGATCCTTTTTTGTTGAAGAAGACTGAGTTGAACCCCATTCAAATCCATCACAATGGTCCTCAAAAAAATATGCTACTTGAATGTAGCCAAGCCCCCTTCCCTTCTTTCTAGAAGTTTAGTCAATTGACTGATTAAGATGCACATTCCAGGGAGTCATCAAGCCAATCACAAGATTTAGAATTCTTATCAGCACTAAAACTGGCTCTGCATATGTAGTACATATGCAGAGCCAGTTTTTTTTTCTTCCTGAGTCCAGCTGACTTCTCCACAAATCCCTCTGCAGTTGTACTTAAGAGCCACCAACATAAAAGCAAGAGCCAAGAGCTCTTCACTATCTGCACATGGAAGACTAGTGTCTTGGAGGGATTCTAGAACCAAACTGACTATTTACTCCATTTAAAAGCTAGCTCAGAGTCAGAGAGTGGAGGATCAGTAATCTCTACTGAGCTAGGGAAGGACAGCTGACAGGAATATAAAGTGAACTTCAGATTATGTAATTTGTGGCACTTCATATTGTAAACCCCACAGCACATGGGGGGCTTCACAATAAATCTGATCAGTTTATACTCATCCCACTTCTGATTTTCTTCTAGTCACTCTTGCAAACAGTATGCTAGCCTCCTTCCCCCTTCCAAACACATCAGTTTTCTCCACAATCAACATCTAACATGGAGTTTGAGGTTTTTCATGATGGACTACTAACTGCCAAAGAACACAAAAACAACAAAATGGTAACACTATTTGTAGGTCGAAAGGAAAGAAAACGTATAATTTAGCAATGATAAACACCTGATGAAAACAAAAAGAATAAATTAGGATGAGGCGGAGACGAGAGATGAAAAAAGAAAGGGAAGAGTTTTAAGAGGCTTTCAAATGATCGATAGATTCCAAGAGTTTTTCGATCCGCTGTTCGACCAAGGAGAGGTTTTTCTGAATGACGATTTCATTCGAGCTGAAGTTAGTTTCGATAACATTGAGGAGCTGATTAACCTGAGAGGAGCGATTGGAGAGGTTCCTAAGATCGGCAATCGAAGAATCGAGCCGAATCCGGAACTGATCGGCATTAGTATGAAGTTCAGCCAATGAGCGTAATCGACTGAGTAGATGAGGGATCAGGGGTAAGAGCGGATCTAATCGGGGTAGAAGACTGTAGAGTCTCTCTAGCTTGTGGAGCGCGTCTGGAGGTAGATTAGCTTGGTTGGCGTCGTTATTGTTGCTACTGATCACACCTGGCACGGCTCCCAGACTGGTGTTAACAGATCCTTGAGAGGAGCCGGCTTGGTTTTGGGTGACGACGGTGATCCCGCTGGCAAGGGCGATGGACAGCGGGCGATGGTCGGTCAACTTCCTACGCGCCTCATGCACCCGTTCCAAGTCCGTCACGATCACCTTCACCCTCCGCGAGATCGAGTCCAGATGGCGCGGCTGAGTGAGTAGCGATAATTGGTGTTCCAGCTTGCTGATTGTCACGAGTAGCGGTGGGGGTAAGCTGATGTCACCAGCCCCTGAGGCTTGTAGGAGGCTACGCGAACCCAGAAGATCCTCGAGCACGCTCAGACGGGAGTCCAACTGAGCTGACGTCGTCGCCTTCGACACGGGTGGGCTGGGCTCCGCGGGCTTAGAAGCGCTGGCTTCCTGCGTCTTTGGCCCTCGTTCGGTGAGCTGTAGCAAGAGCGATTTGGCGTACGCCTCTCGTGCTCTCAGTTGTGAGGCAGTGGTAGACAGCGGATCGGCAGAGGAGTTTGAAACTGAGAGTTTTTCGAGCTGCTGACGAAGGTGTTGCAGTTCGACTAAGAGCTCTGTGGGGGTGGGCCCGGCTTTCGACTTGCCTTTAACGTTCGATTTGGGAGTAGGGTCCGACTGCGCATCGATCTGCTCATCTGCTTGGGCCCCAGTAGAGTCTTTCTCTTGCTCCAGCTCTTCTTCCAGCTGATCCACCTCAAACCTTAGCCGCCGTAGTCGTTCGAGTGGAGTCTCATTCTCTACAACACCCTGGCGCTGGTCGATGGCGTATCCTCGCGGCAAGATCGAGTATTCATCCGTCTCGAATGTCTGTCGAGTGGTTGGAGGCGGATAACGCGCGGATGATCGACGAGGCTGTTTCCTCAAAAGAGAAGTAGAAAAGTCTGGCGACCGCGGGCACGAATTACGAGAAGCAAAATATCAGAATTTGCAAATGTTCGATCGCCTTGGATCAATCGATCGAGAGGGAGTGAGATATTTTCGGCAGCCCACTAACCTGCATCGCTGCCATCCAAACCAGAAGCAGAACCAAACTTCTTACGGGCCGATGACTGGTCCAAGGTTTCTTTAATAATATCCGAGTTAGGGTGGCCCTTAGTCGACTGGGCATGGCTGCCTGGAGGGAGAAGTTCGTTATCAGAGTCGTCGTCCCGTTCGGTGATATGGATCGTGGGTAGGTCGGGCGTCTCATAAACATCTGGTGCCGTGTCCTGGGAAAGGGGAGGTTCCAAGTGAATGTCAGCTCGTCATCGACTCCATGATGTCATCAGACTTTGGGCAGCTCGTGGTCATCCATTAGTGCTTGATGAGCTGAGAAGTGTTATCAAGAAGAGCAACGAAGACTTACTATGTCAGGTAAGGAAGCATACTTGCTCATGTCTGATGGTGATCGATGGCCTGCTGAGATTGGCTGTAGGCTGTGTGTGGCTTCTCTTCCTTCTCTGTCCTTGTGGATTAGTTGCTGGTCAATCCTAAGCCCCCCAGCTGGGTCACACGGATCGGGCTGAACTGCTGCGCCGGCCGCAGAGAGTCAGCAAGCCTGCAAGAAAAAGCCAGGCAACTGTGTGTAGTTGACATGTGATATGATAAAGGCACCTTTGTAATAGCACATGTCAACTACACACAGTTGCCTGGCTTTTTCTTGCAGTGAAAGTGTAGGAAAAAAATTTCATTTCAAAATGTCAAAAGATATTGAGAACTAGGGAACACGCGGCTCCGCCGCGCTCCCAGTCTCCAGGTCCCAATCCAGGAACATTACTTCTGAGGCATCTCTACACCCAAGTTTAATCCTTAGCGCACGCGTTCCATTTGGCGCAACGGAAGCCAAGTGATCCCCTAATCTGTGGGGCCCAATGTATGGCTTCCTGGATAGGATCCAGATCCTTCCCTAGACCCTGAATCTCCAACCTCGGGTGACTGACAGGCTATTTGTTCTCGCTGAGGAATTTTGATTATGGAAAAGGTACCTTGGGGCTATGCAATGTGGTTGATCTATAAAACCTGGACAACTCAACTTCTCACAATGGACCGTGCTCGGCACATTTATGAGCCAGATGGAGTCCACCTTTCATAGATGTTGTTTTATTGCAAGAATAGCATCATAAGAAGAAAAAGGGAAATAAAAATTGAAAAGAAATATGAGGTGAACGGATTGTGAACACATCTGCTGCAAGTGGTCATCCAAACCAATCATTAGCAAGGTTAGAAAAGGTGCATTAGCAAGGTCGGAAAAAGAGAAGTATGAGAAACACGCTTACCAAAAAATGACTGACTGGAAGAAGGACATGATATGACTGATTTATTGCTTGGGTGAAAGCAGAAAGCCATTCTAGATTGATGTTATTGAAACATCCGCAATTCACAATGACTAAATAGAACGATGGACTTACCACAAGAATAACACAAAATGGATGTGTTCATCCCTGTCAAGTTTAGAAGTGAAGAGCGGAGGTTTTTTTTTTTTTTTGAAAAAACCGAATTCGACTATTAGCAGAGACATACAGAGAAAGAAAGGGGAAAAAAAAATTCAGGTGATGAAATTGGAAGGAAATGGAAGGAGGAGTCGATCGCGCAAAGCAATCTGAGGATTGTGATGAGGAAACTGTTTCTGATCCACCCTAAGTGGGTGAGGCGGTCGGAGTAGGAGTAGGAGAAGAGAAGGATCCAGCAGGTGGTGGAGTGGATGGGTTGGTGAATGTGATGACATGAACAAAACCAGCAAACAGATTTCTTGTCACATATTTATGCTCCAAAACAGTCATTGTATGTACCTCAGCTTAAACTGACTCAAGAATTGCTTTTAGCAACAATGCTCAATTCCTATTCCAAACCCTCAGCTCCGGTGTAAGACTCAAAAAGTGGTTGTAAGACCCTTTTTGCTGAATGGAGAAGGGGATGGTGGAGTGTAAACTCTGCCCTTCTATACTATCAGATAACAAGACCCACCAAGCTTAGCTTGGCAAGTTTTAATCAAGTGATAGGGTAAAAGTTCAGGAATGAGTTTGTGTGATGAAGAGTTTTTGATTTGGTGGTGGTTAGCGCTTTAAAGTGTTTGTGTAAGGTGGTCAAATATTGCTTGAGTGTTACTTGACTGAGGATGGGAGGAGAGCCTCCTTATATATACAACAGTGAGGGAATTTAGCTCCAGGTCAGCCAGTAATGAGTGATTTTGGCTGGCCTGGGCTATTACATGAGGTATTTTAGCTACATACAAAATTTGAATGAGTGAATGTGATTGGTCAGACATGTACAAGAGCTTAAGTGGTGAGCCAAACAGCTGAAAGAATGATTCTGATTGGTCAGGTTATGTGGTGTTTACAAGTGAGTGTGGTGGTGTAAGCTGAAGCTTTCATGCATGGAAAATACACTAATTTAGGCTGCAGGTATGATGTAATATGTAGAAGTGAAAGAAAAAATAGCTATATCTAAATGAGGGGTTTGTACTGTACTGAGGGTGTCTGTGTAGCTTGAGGGTTGTAATTGGGGTTGGTGTCATGTAGTGATGAGTGAAATCCTTGTGATATGTTGTCCCTTGTTGGGTAAGCGCTGATCCATGTGTGTTCCAGTGACGCCTCCGTGGTGACCAAGGGTGAATTTGTCCGTAGAGTCCAGTTCTTGAGCTGTATGGTGTGATTTCTGAGAGAGATTGGGTGATAATATGAAGAAAATATATATAAGAAAAAAAAAGAAAGAAAAACTTTGAATTTTCAAATTTTTGACTACCACACCGGAAAAGGAATAACTCTGCGGCCAAGACCGACACCGGGTTCTTTGCCAAACTCCTACCTTATTTACCATTGCTTAAATTGGATCCTATCGGCACCGAGGTATTCAACACTCTCCCTCAACCGACCCCTCCATATTCCCACACCCGTGGAAAACATCAGTCAGGGGCCGGTTTAAGTAGAGGGGGATGAATAGAATTGGAAGCTGGGGAGTAAGTGTGTCCGGATCCGGGTAGCGGTATAGGTTTGGGGCAGTGAGGCCAGGTGATGGGTAGGTGACTGAAGCCGGCCAAAGTGCGTCCGGATCCGGTTAAAGGGATAAGAGAGTTGGATTTTGAGAGATCAAATCAGGGGGAGTGGGTTTTGGGGGGGTGAGTATAAAAGCAGGCTGTTGGTGAACGGGGTAAAGGTTGGTTAATAGGAGAGGATCTGTCTGCGACTTTGTATTGGGTATTGAACCTTTACCATTTGTCCCAATACTAAGTTGTGGGTTTAAATCCTGGCGGTAGGCAATTAAGTCAATGTGAATCCGTGGCCAGGGACAGTTTTTAGGGTCTTGGCTAACTGCTGCCCGCCAAAACAGAGAGGTGATGAATTTATCTGTTTTTAATAAGCTGTAAGAAATTAATTGAATTTTTTTCCTGAAATCACCAGGAAAAAACAATGCTCACTTGATGACAAGTGACATAAAGCTAAGTTCATCATGCTACACATCATCTACCTAGCTCAACTCTAGTTCAGCCCCCTGTAGCACACAAAGGGGCCATTGTAGTTGGATTGCAACAGCACTGGAGCTACACTGGAGTTGTAATCAATGCTACACAATATCATATGGTTCAAAGTGATACATTGATTTTTACAAAAATTGAATTATGCCATAAAATTCTATGCCTATTAAAACCCAGGAAATAAATTTAAAATTTTGAAAAAATTAAAAAATCAGGTAAAAAAGTAAAAAAATTAATTAAAAAAGGGGCTTGGCTAATCAACTCCCAAAGGTTGGAGAGTCAACTCCCAAACCCCCAATTATTGGGAGTCAATCTCCCAAACCTGGGAGTTGGATCCCCCATAATTTTTAAAAAAAAAAATGGAAACCCCCGAAGGGGGAGGAAGTTGATGCCCCAAAACCCACTGGGTTTTGGGGTTTGGCGAACCAAAAACAGCCCCCAACGTCCGGGAGGGAATCCTCCCGGCCATTGAGAGCACACTCTCATGCCAATATACCTCTTGGCCGTCGAGAATGTACACTCTCAACGGCCGAGAGAAAGCCTCTTGGCCGTTGAGAGTTGGATCACAAGCTGCTTTAGATTCCAGGCAAAGGTCCCCTTTGGATAGTCATTCCAGGTCTCCTCCTCCTAGAAACGCCAATGGCTCTTGTGCTTCACCTAGCCCCAGGCATAGATTTCCCTCTGATGATTGCAATTGCAATCGGCCTTGGTCTCCTCCTAAAGAAGATGCTGAATCCCCAATGCCACTCAGCCCCAGGCAAGGATTTCACTCGGAAGGTCGTGATTGCAGTTGTTCTTGGTCCTCACAGAAAAGCAAATGGATCACGTGTGCCATCTGATCTTAGGCAAAGAATTCCATCAAAAGATTGCAGATCACAGTTGTTCCCGTTCTCCATTCAGACAAAAGCTTGCTGGATCCCGCCCTCCAACCAGCCCAAGGCAAAGGTTTGCCTTGGTTGATCATAATCACAGTCATTCCAGGCCGTTGAGAGTGTACACTCTCAACAACCGAGAGGCTTTCTCTCAGCCGTTGAGAGATACACTCTCAACAGCCAAGAGGCTTTCTCTCAGCCGTTGAGAGTGTACATTCTCGATGGCCAAGAGGTATATTGGCATGAGAGTGTGCTCTCAATGGCCGGGAGGATTCCCTCCCGGCCGTCAGGGGCTGTTTTTGGTTTGCCAACCCCCAAAACCCAGTGGGTTTTGTGGCATCAACTCCCTCCCCCTCTGGGGGTTTCAATTTTTTGTTATTTAAAATTATGGGGATCCAACTCCCAAACCTGCTGACAGGTTTGGGGGATTGACTCCCAATAATCAGGGGTTTGGGGGGTTTGGGAGTCAACTCTCCAACCTTTGGGAGTCGATTAGCCAAGCCTCTTAAAAAACACTTTCAAATGCAGAATGCGCATGTGCTGTGTGCAGCAAAAACCGTGTCAAAACATGGAAAACCCCCGTTTTTTTATGAAGGCCCTTCTTAAGAATGCTGTGCACTTTTTTGGACCAAAATTCACTGCTAATATAGAAACACTTGAGCAATGATGCCCAATCCTCTCCCATGAACAATTTGTATCTATCAGTGGGTTCCCTGAACTCTCCATTTGATTTTCTTTTTTAAGCTAGTTCAAATTCAAATCCCTCTCATTTCATCATGATTAGAATTTCCAACCTCTCTGATTTTTATCATTGAGCTTCTGGAAAAGAGTTGAAGTCTGTCGTCCAGCAATTTTTTCCTGCTCACTGGCAGTCAGCTCCTAGACCCTGATTCTGAGATCACTCTAGTTATGAATTTTCAAAAACATAAAGAAAAGAAAATATTCCTGCCAGATGCATACATCACAACATAAATGCTTACAACTATGCCCCTTTCAAGTTTTTTTTTTTTACATTTTCCTTCTTGGTGATTTAGGGCACAGATGCAGCAGGAGGAATGGGAAGCCGGGCTGGGTCAACTGATGGGGCACGTTCGTAGTATGTTGCACGAGCCTGGTGGTGGTCTTGGGGGCATGTCTTCAAACCAACAAATGCAAATCGCCCACACCCTTCACACTGGTATGATTCAACATCAATTGGGAGAGTGCAAGTTAATTTACTCATGAGTGAACAGGCCACACTTCTGTATCGACTAACAAACTTCAAGTAGGAGTTGGGAGGGTGTTCCTCTGGTTGGCCAGCTGCATCCCAACACATGTAGCAGTATCGTAAGTCAACTGCTTTAGGATGAGCAGCTACTGAGCACAGGAGAAGGGTGAATGCAATCTCCAAACAAACAATGTTGAGAAGGCTTAGTATCATTTTTCTGATGTGTGTAGTGGAAGAATTGCTTTGTCTTCAGTGGGGTTTGATCTAAAGACGTGGGGTTTTTCCAAGACTGAAACACTAATGGCTCTTGAAGTGGGTGAATTTAACCACTATGCCAACAAGGTGTATTTTGAAATGTGGTTTGTGTAGTATTTAAAGGCATGTTTTGGGCCAGTTTTAATTGCCACAAGAAGGAAGCAAATTTTTGATCCTAATGAAATATACAGAAAATCTGTAATCTTAAACACAATTTAAATCCTCCATGCCCAAACCCCTCTCTTATATATGTCTTGGAGTCTTTTGTTCCTCAACTCCTCTCCTGGCAATGGTGATATCCCTGAAGTATTATTTTATTCAATTGATTTTTCCTTTTCCGCTTCTGCCATAACTCTTTGTTTTTTCACTTTACCTTTTCCTCTCAGTCCATTTTTCTGAGAACCTAGCCTTCCCCTTGACACCTCTTTCATTACGTCATTGGATTTTTCCTTTTGCAATTCCACTGGAACTATTTGTTTTTACATTTTACATTTTCCTCTCAGCTTTGTGCTAGAGAGATTGTGTCACGACTAGAGAGACTTGCTATATGCCAATGACAACGGTGGGCCGCTACACTAACCGTAGCGGTTAGTGTAGCGTAATGCAGTGGAATTCCCGTTAGTGTTAAGCGTAGCGTAGCGGAATTCCGCCACGACACCGCTAACGCTACGCGTGTGGGCCGCAAAGAAGGGCCCACTACTCTGCGCTACAGTGCTTTTTAGCGGTTTTTAGCCGCTTTTACCGCTTTTACCGCTAAAAGCGCTGTAGCGCAGCATAGCGTAGCAAAAATGTGCTACAAAAGCGCTAACACTACAAAACTTTGGCACAAAAAAAGCGCCGCTACGCTACGCTTTTTGGGCCAAAAGTGTAGCGTAGCGGCCCACCGCTGCCAATGATCATCAACAATGAGTATGTAGACGGGAATGTGGATATGTATAAAAGAGTGAATGGGTAATCAAACAAGACAATGATGAGAGATGTCCAAAAAGACAATTGGTTGAATGTTAAAAAAAGGAAGACACAAAAGGAAAATTGCGGCAAAAAAAATTCAAGTCCTATGTATGATCCCTGAACCCTATCAGTTTGTTGCACCTTCTCCTCCCAAATTTCCTAAGTGAATCATCCATGCCCCCACACAAGGCAACTTTCCCCCAGTTATTTGTTTGATGCACCTCCCCAAATTGGTCCAATTAGTTGCCAGATCTTGTTCCACCACTTAGAAACATGAAATGTAGCCCAAGCCATGACCGCTGGGTTGAAGGGGAGTGATAATCACACCCCCCCCCCCCTTCACACTTCCCTTTTTGAGGGGAGTGTGGGACCACACCCCAATCAAAATTGGAGTGCGGGTCCGCACTCCAATGATTTGCAGGGTCATATCCCCTGCAGCTTGGTGTGCGCTCCCACACACCAATATGCTTTGGCGTGTGGGCCCACACTCCCCTTCTGAGGGGAGTGTGGGAGTGTGCATAACCTAATATATATGCATTCCTGGGCTATCCCATAGTGTCAGGTGTGGTGATGCCAAGACCGCAAGTCTTCTAGCTACACCGGCTGATAAGGCTGGTTTGGTAGTGGATGAGGAAAGTGTAATTAAATGGAAAAGGAGGGGCCCGGGTAGCGGGGGTGTTTACGGTGCCCTCCTGAGGTCACTAGCTTTTAACACGCTTGTCGCAGCGGTTCATTTGTGCAGCATAGTCTTACGGGGTCTAGTGATACTAGGGTATTTGGTCCGAGTAGTGTGTATGGACAGGGGAATAGCAAGTAAAGCTATTCCTTGGCGACAAATAACTGGCACTCAAGTGCAGAACTGAAGGGAGTACGTGGTGCTCTGAGTGGGGTGTGCTGGGTAGCGGAATGATATTTAGAAAAAGATGTAAACTGGAAAAGGATGCTGAAAAATTACTAAACTGGTAAACTGATAATTCCTAGCTACCTTGTTTACTGGTTATTTTTATACTGTAGGTACCAATAACCAAAACTGGAAAGGGTGCCCTCACCGGTCATCTCTGAGAATCTGGGATGGTGTATAATTTCCCAGGAGCTTTGACAGGGTAAATCTGCTCATCTCATGTAACAGTCTCCTGTCATGATGTATTTCAATATGTCACTAGTTTCTGTGAAGGACATTTTATGTCATTCTTTTTGTAATATTACTTGATTATTAAATCTATCACTTATTATCTTGAGTCATTTATGGAAATATTGCAGGTCAGCTTGACTCTGTAATAGTAGCAAGCTGACACATAGGACCCAGGCCTGGGTCCTATGGGTTAGCCCTGGGGCTAGAGGCTGTTGAAAAAAAAGTCTTTAGGGCTGGGAGTGAGAAATTTATAGGCTTAAAAGAATATAAATTTCAGTAAAAAGAAAATGAAAAAGAATAAAAATGAGATAAGAGAAAAAGAAAAGAGTAGTACCTTAAAAGAACAGGAAGTTAGATGAACTACCGACACAGTAAGTACATGATTGACTCTTAAAGAGTATCTTATCAATTAATTCAGGATAAAAGAGCTAAGAACATAAAGTTAGAGCGGTCAACAATCAATTAATGATAATAATAAGAAATGAATGATAATAATAAGAAATGATAATAAAAATACCTCAAGGCTATAAATCCCTAGCAGATTATCCCTCACACTCGATCAATGCTGAACTTGATGATTGATGAAGAATAGTTGAGCGATGTCGAGTTGTGATAAAGAAGATGGGATGAGGAAAGAGCCTGTTGACCGTGCCAAATTGATCATGATGTCATGATCACAACACTCCCGATCTGGAGTATTGAAAGCACCTGCACCCACTGTGCACACCTAATCCCAACACCTGCACCCACTGTGCACACCCAATTCCAACACACCCCCTTGCACTCAGCCGGAAGGTGAGGGCATACCAGCTTGAAGAACTCGAAGAACCTTGAAAATTGAAGATCTTCCAATAGATCTTGTAAGAAAATCTGCGAGCATTCCTTGAGTCTTCTTGTAAATTAGAGAAAGATTGTCGGAGATGATTTCAGATCGAACAAAGTGATATCGAAGATTCATGTGTTCAGTCTTGAAAGCTGAGTGATTGGATTCATTATTTGCTAGAAGAATTGCCGCTTGATTGTCTTCATAAATCGGAGAAGGCGAAGGAATTGAAAAGTTGAGGGCAGTTTCAGCTACCATTTTAAGCCAGATCAGTTCTTTAGTGACTTCGGTGATAGCTATGTATTCCGCTTTGGTAGATGACAAAGAAATGGTTGATTGCTTCTTTGATTGCCAAGATATTAAATTATCATTCCAAAGAATTAAATAGCCTGTCGTCGATTTGCCTGTAATCTGACAACTTGCCCAACTTGCGTCCACATATGATTTGAATTTAAGATCTTCAATTGGAGTTTTACGGATTGTAATTCCAAAATCCTTAGAGCCTTTCAAGTATCGAAGTGTATGAATTGCAGCGTTCCAATGTAAAATGCCAGGATTCTTCAAGAATTGAGATAAACAGCCTACAGCAAAGGTGATGTCGGGACGTGTTGTAACACTGAGATAATTCAAGGCGCCAACTAATCCTTGATAATGATATTGTAGGTTGTTTAATTCTTCAATTTCATTTTTCGACGCTTTCACCAGTTGAGAATTTGGTTTCATAGGAGTGGCTAGAGGAATTGAATCTGAACAACCGTATTTGATAATCGTTTCTTCAATGTAATGAGTTTGATTAAGACGAATTTCAGTAGGAGACTGATCAACTTTCATACCAAGAAGATGTTTTGTTTCACCAAGATCTTTGATTTTGAATTGTTTACTGATGAGCCGTTTGAAAACTTCTGGTTCTGAACTGAAAATTGCAATATCATTGACATGAATGTAGAGCCAGGTGTTTGCTGACCAAAAGACACAAGGTTCGGCATAACTTCGATTGAAACCAACTGATAGAAGCCACAAAGACAAAGTAAGATGCCAAGCTTTTGGAGCCTGTTTCAAACCATAAAGAGCCTTTTCAAGTAACAGCAATTTATTCGGAGGAATATTCAAGCCTGGTGGTGGATTCAGCGTTATTCTTTCTCGAATGGGAGCATTTAGAAAGGCACATTTGACATCGATTTGATGAAATTTCAATCCCCTCTGAGCGGCAAAAGTGATCAACAATCGAAGAGAAACGAGTTTTCCAGTTGGAGCAAATGTTCGATTATAATCACGACCAAAGACTTCCTTAAAACCTTGAACACATAAACAAGCTTTATATTGTTCCGGCTGATTTGAGACTTCAGGTTTAATTCGAAATACCCAAGTACAATTCAAAGGATGTTCTTCTTTAGTCTTGTCAATTAAATCCCATACCTCATACTCCTTCATATTATGAACTTCACCATCTAAAGCCGTCATCCACTTCACTTTATTGGGATGTTTGAGAATTTCTTGAAACGACAGAGTATCAGAGTCGACCTCTTTCAAGTTTAATTCCGGTACCCCCCTTCGACGATGAGTGAGTATGTTTTCTGAAGAGATATCCCCAATTATTTCCTTTGAAGCAACTCGAGTATCCGGACTAATCAATTCTTGAAGAGTATTAATGTCTGTTTCTTCTTCAAGTGCCGGTGTCTCTTGTTCTGGAAATGGTTGAAATTCTTCAGGTTCATCATCTTCATCAACACCATGAATTACATCGAAAGGATTGAAGAAAAAGCTGGACTGATCAATGGACTCATTCGAAAGAGATGGAAAGACTGATTCTTCAAAAGACACATCTCGACAGATGCAAACTGTTTTCGATTCGATCTTCAAGACTCGATAAGATGAAAAATCATTTGCATAGCCAAGAAAAATTCCTCTTTTGCTAGTAGGAAGAATTTTTGCCTTTTGATGAACTTCTGGAGTTAAAACGTACGCTAGACAGCCAAATGATCGAAGTTTGTCAAGATTCATTTTTTGTCCAAAGAATTCTTCATAAGGGATTTTGAATTCTCGAGTGCTTGA